ATTTGAAAGCACATATGTCCAAGCACACACGTGAAAAGCCTTTTCAGTGCCAAGTAGATAGCAGAGCTTTTTTGAATCCACGCAACGTGCGTCCCATGCACGTTCATACGAATGTGACGTCCTTTCAGTGTAAAATTTGTCATACATTTTTCTCAACTCTTGGTAACATGAAAAGACACGTACGCAATTTACACGATCTACGCGAATTTTGCTTGAAGTCTGTTTAAGCATTACTTAAACTGAGTAATATAAAAAGACAGATGCATGAGTTTGCTATATTTTTTTATTTGTAATTAAGAGGCAATCAGATGATAAATTACAAAAATTGAAGTGTGATACTTTTTTTGTAGTAATCAAATATTCAAATTTGATATTAAATAATCTGATTAAATTATGCATTGGATTAAAAAACGATTAGGCAATCAGAGATAACTTTATGGTCCATTAATTTGTTTATTGTATACATTAGCAGTGTAATGACTCTCTGAATGAATTAACTGTTTCACAAATAAAATGTGCTGATAAGTTATCAATTTTTCAATTCATCAATTAAAAATATTATTAATTCTTATCAAGAACAACTTAATCATTTCAACCAAATCAGATTTACTTTATTTTAGTTTGTGCCGTACTATTTTCAGTTTACAAGTTATTATTGAAGTGCGCATCTTATTATTTCTGTCAATCGTTCAGCTGATTATGATTGTCAATTTTATGCAGAAATTTAAAATTTTTCCAGGTTTCAGCTGTCAGATTGAAATCTTTAATTCAAAAATGTTATGTTTTTCCTGAAATAGACCTACGTTGGTGTGAAAGCATTAAAACAAACTGGTTTATTTACATAATAATAATGCGAAAAACACATATTAGTGACGAGTAAAAGTAATTAAAAATGACAAAAAATAATAATTATTGTATGTACAACAAATTATTAAATTAACCAAAACTTTTGATGAGTAATATCGATAATTATCATATTAAAATATTATCAATTATATAGTATACACATTTTGACATTTGTGCAGAACTATTCTTTATCTTTACAACTAAATAAAATGCAATGAAATTTATGCAGAAAATTTTGAATGACTTCTTTAAATATAAGCTTTTAAATTTCAAGTATTTATTTATATAAGTGTATATGTATTATATGTATAGTTTTGTATGCAAAGAAGAAGGAGAAAAAAACTGAAATTATAAATAAAGTATAAGAATAGAGTAAATAAATGTATGTATATATATGTATATGTTAAATCTTCGATGAATTCTCGTCGAACATTATAAACTGTATGTGAGTTACACAATTAATTTAAATACATATATGAGACAATTTTAGGTACACAAAAAAGTTTGAAATTATTAATTAAAGTAAGAATAAATTCAATATTTCTGTAGAAGCAAAGATAAATTATTATTTGATCTACCTTACTATTACTTAATACTTAGTCTTTATTTCGCACTAAATTTATAACTTACCCTAATATTTTGATTAAGAAGCAGTCAGTAGTAGAAGTTATCTTTCTTCTTGGCTTTACTGAATACTCCATTAGATGTTAATAGCAAAAAATATACTTTATTAAGTGCAATCTGTTATTAATTAAACTATTCTAACTATTCTATTCTAACTATACTGGTTAGTAATAGTTTAAAAAAAAGAAAGAATAATCATATAATTTTTTTTGTAATATTACTAACACAAAAAAATAATCAAAATAAAAAAAACTGGTATCATAAATATATCACTTTTTTAATTGCAAGAAATATATATATCTATAATTTTTAATTTTTCGTTATTTCTAATTGCATAAATATATAAGAAAGTAAAAAACAAGTGATGTTAGCACGTTTATTTTGACGTAATTAGTTTACAACGCCTGAGAGTAATAATCCCGATATGGATTGCACTCTGAGATATCTCCGAACCGCGTGATATTCTGCCATGTTCCACAACAATTTAGATGTCCTTCGATGGATTTTGATTCTCCAGCGGGCATAAATGGTTGGATATAACAAGGCTCAGTGAACTGAGTTGTTGCTAATTCTTTGATTGATGTATATGTTGCCATCACACCACCGATTAATCCACCAGCTATAATTATTACTTTAAAACTGCTATGATTATTGTTCATTTTTTTGAACTTATTTGAGTAATTATTACTTATATAATAACTCATCGTTTTTAGTACTTACTCATACTTTTTCCATAAGTTACTTTTAATTATTAAAAAATAAAATGATTTTGCATAAATATAAACTAATTAAATTAGAATCAGTACAAAAAATATTACTACAAAATTTTGATCAGTGCTATGCAAAAAAAATAAATATATTTTGTACACGCCTAAAAATTTATACCTAAAAATTTACACCTAAAAATATACACCTAAAAATATACACCTAAAAATATACACCTAAAATTTACACCTAAAAATTCACACCTAAGAGTTTATACCTAAAAATTTTTAAAATTTACACCCAAAAACACCTAAAAATATACACCTAAAAATTCTTCAATCACAATCTATGTTTACAAAAACAAATTTTTATGCATTTTTTTGACTGTTAAATTATGTAAGGAAAACAATTTTATGCAATAAATTATTGTATTTTATGCCTTATTTTAAATTCAAAAATTGATAAAATCAATGAAACTATTTATGGTTGTTTTGCCTCCTTGTTTTTCACATTTTTAAATAAACCTAGAAATAATCAATAAATATTAATTCCAGTTTAAATTAAAATGAAGTATAACAATCAGAGTTAGTTTTGAACTGATGGAAATAATATACTTTTGCCTTAATTCATTTTATCGTAAATAAATATGTGGATGCAAATACTAAGGTCATATCTTTAACGATTTTTAGCTATTCTTGATTAAGTTAATATTCCAACTTCGATTTAAAAAAAATAATTGTTATATTATCAATTCATTTAATGAAACTTTATGATTTGACACGCTAAATTTTTCGGTGCACTAGTTATTGTATGCCTTAACTGCAATTAAATTCTAATACGTAACCGAATACTTATATTATTTGGTGAATTAATAATGCTCAAATAAATTATAATAATATATTTAGATTAAATACAGTGATTAGAATCGGTAAAGAGAGCTAGTAAGTAGTGATTAAAATTATCGTAATATAAAAAAGGTGCGAAGAGAAACTGTTAGAAAATATATAGTAATTCAATTTTCAATTATGAGTAATGATTTGCGATAAGAATACAATAATAACTTGTTGAATGATAAGATTTTTTATTAAAATATCAATAATTATTTATGTAAAGCTTAAAGTTGCAATGTAGTCAAAAAAACATTGTAATTATGCTTACTGATAATCAGCGAACAAATAATGAGTCGTCGTTTAGGTGATCGTACTAATACACTAAAAACGTTGAAGTATCGTAAAAAGGACAGTAATAAATATTGTATGACTGATTAAAGTAATTTTATGTGGATAAAATTTGTCAAGAATTTAATTTGAATTTATTTTGTAAATAAATAAAGCAAGCAGTTAGCTACATTAGAACTAATCTTGTTATTAAAACTTGTACATATTAAATTATTATGTCAAATTCAATCATAAAATTATCAGACTTTGTTTAAAATCGAATTTTAATTTAATAATAATAATAATTATTATTAGAATAATAATAATACTATCAATAAAAATTTACTCAATAAATGTTGGAGTGCCATTTTCAAGTTTTTTTTCACCCTTTTGTTCGGCCATTTCATCGCCAACGGTCAAGTAAAGGTAAAATAAACAAGGAAAAATAAGTGCTGTTAAAGTCAGCGTAGAACTACCTACTAGGCCTAGTAAAGGCCCAAATGTAGGCAAACTTTCTGCAACAAATACTACAGCAAGCATCATTCCCGTGCGAACCAGTACTCGTTGCCAGCAAAAATCTAAAGCTCCTTCCTAATATTATTTATTATTGTTTATTAAAATATCCTTTATTTAACAAAAAAATTTGTTGTAATAAACCCTTTATATTATTATTATTAATTAATTAATTAATTAATTGTGTTATTTGTTCTATAATTTAACATAATTAAATTTGTAATTATTTATTGCCGATTATTGCGTTGCATAAATTTATCACTGTGGAGTACAAAAATTACCAAAAGATAATAAAAATAAAGCTTGATAAAATTTTATTTATTTTTATTTTTTGCTATATTAATGTATGTATGTATATTAAATTCGTTCTTTTTTGAAGTGAAAAATAAAACGAAGAGGGAAAGTAAGGAAAAGTACTGACGGTGTGGTACTCGAAAGACTTCTTCAGCTTCTTGATTCAGTGGGTTGAAAACAATTGTAAGCGTAAGTATACAGTGAAGAGTGATGAGAACATTAGCTCCTTGTTGTAATGGAACATTTTGAACGGAATTCAAGATTGATTCTCGTAATGAATTGCCATACGTCCAATACGCCAAAATGCAAACTGGCGTGTAGAGTAAAAATACAACTATAATTAAATTTAATGTAACGCAAAAAACGTTTGCTTAAGTGCTCAGCAACGAATTAGTAAAAAGTAACTTTTGATTTGAATTAATTGAAATTGTCAAAGTTTTTTTTATTCAAATTAGATTTCGTTCATTTATTGGAAATTTTAATTTTTATACTTTTGATGTTTTTTTAATAATCGAAAACTAAAAATAATTTTATCGATACTTTTTTTAAGTTTTAAATCAAAAATGCGTGTAATAATTTTGAAAATGCGTAAGTATGATTTGTATTTGACGTACTTGAAAAGGATAAAACAGCCGACCGCGTGAAATGATACGGTTTCCTCATATCATGAAGAATTGTAGGAAAAGCCGCATGCCCACCGTATGAAAATAAAAGAGTGCCAAGTGCGAGGAAAAAATTTGCAGGTACAATATTTATATTAGTTCCTCGTTCTGGTGCACAGGTACTGTAGTCTAAAACTGCTCCAATCATTACCATAATCAGTGCAACCGTTGTTGTAATCATCGCTAATATAATAGCCCACCTGAAAAAGTAATAAATAAAAGAACAAAATTTTATTTGAATATTTTTTTTGTATATTTTCTTCACTTGCAGTATTCTTAAAATATTAAATTCAAATTTTTACAAGTTTATTTTCGTTAATTTTTGATTTATTTAACGGAAAGAAGAAGTTTGATTTGAATAAACAAATAAAATTACCAAAAATCTTGAGGTGATTTTAGGAATGTAACAGGTAGAAGGCATACACCAACAATTAATATTACTATACAAAATGATATTTCAATGTGGAAAATTGCATCGATAAAATCACATATATTTTTTGCTGATAATATCAAATATACAACAGCTATACCAAATTGTGTCACGTCAATGCACACTGATACCAAATGCCTTAAATAATAATTACACTTATTATTTATTATTTTTAATTTAAATACTTTATAATTAATTAAAACTTTTATTATTAAACTGTTTGGAACATCTCATTTTTATTAATATTTTTACATTTCTGAACAAATAAGTCTTAAATTTTTTTATTTTCTAATATTTATTATAGTTAAAATTCTTTGTTATAGGATCTGAACATTTGAGATTAACATATTTATGGTTATGACTGGTTATTTTGGTAACTTTAGTACTATACAAGAGATTACAAAGTTTAACTGTCAAAAGAGCAATTCAATCAAAATTAGAATAATTTTGAAAACAGTTCGCACTGATAAAAGTCAAAAGTGGTTTATTGTTATCCATAAAACTTTAAATTTGTGCGAAAAAGTAACGAATTCAAAAACTTTCACGATTTCAGCTAATTCTAAAAGTGTTTATACAGTTATTCAAATTGTAATTAAAGCAATTAAGTAAACTAAAATCAAACTACTTCGAATTTTTTAAAATGTTCAACAACTTTTGAAATATTTCATCGTACTATCTTTTTGAAGCCTTAAAATCATGAAAAAAAAAACTCGATTTTAATTATACTAATTAATAAGTTGTAATTAATGAATTGGTTAAGATCATGAAAACTTCTTACTTTACATTGTTTCCAATCGCGCGAGCACCCATCTCAGGATACGGTTTTCTGCAATGTTCACGATATTCTGGCCATCTTCGCTGTAATATAGCCCAGCTAATGCCTAGCATATAAGCTGTATAAGTCATTGCTAACGCCATTAAAGTATTCATTACTAATCCTGGCCAGAAATCTGAAACTTTTCTTAAAAATTTAAAATTATTCTCATTTATTCATAATAGGTTTTGAATTATTCAAAATTAATAAAGAATAATTCATTCTTTTGTAAAATGTTTCAATTTTTGAATCGTTAAAAATTTTCAACTTGATAACTTACTTGTTTGTGCAATAGCTGCTGGTAAAGCAACAATTCCTCCACCTGCTAAATCTCCAACTACAAAAAAACTTGTAATTATCCATCCCAAGCCTTGTTCATTACTGTGCCTTTCGTTTTTACCTTTTTCACTATCTATTACTGTATTTGAAGATTTACAAACTTTTGTATCCTTGTTTTCACTCATTATGCACCTGAAATAACAATAACTTTTTAATTCGAATTATTATCCCACGCATACTTTTCAGATTAATAAGTTATTAAATGAAAAATTACAAAGTTATATGTCAACATTATATAACTGAAATAATTTAAAAGTGAATTGGCAGAATAATAAATCACAAGAAATAATACAAATTTTAGCTATCAATAAAATAATATCAAAAAGCATTAACATACAATTAATATACTTTTCACTTTATATATTATATAGCTAAAATAAATAGTTGCATAATTCTTTTTCAATTCTTAAAATAGTAAACTTAACGTAATTGAATTGATCTGAACTTAAAAAATTAATAACTTAAATATTTATTTTCAGTGAAAAAAGATTAATGAAATATTGTCAAGTATATCAGATATAGTGCCAGATTAATATTTTCATAATGTTTTCAATAATAATAATAATATATTTTTGTACAAGCTATTATAATTTTATAAAAAGCAAAAAAAAAATCGTAAAAATATTTTAATGCGCTAGAAAAAAGTAAAAAAAAAATAGTACCAAAATTGAGAATGCATAAAAATATTAGCAATTTGAAATTATTTACAAAGAATGATAATATCTGTAAAAGATTTTTGATGAATGAATTTTTGTTTATTCATTTCTAATAAAATTTAGCTATAAAAAAGTAACAGTATGACAATATATTAATGATAAAAGTTGTAGTGAAAAAAAAAGGCGGCAAAAAGATCGAAAATTAAATAAAATATTCTGTCGAGAAAAAAAAATAATGTCATTTCAAATTGTTTACATAACTTCTGAAATTATTAAACAGAAAAAAATTTAAAACCAGAATTAGTTTACTTTTAAGCAACTTAGCTGTGATTATAAGACATGATAATCCTTGTTTTTTGCAGCTTTTTTTTTTGCAGCAAAAAAATAAAAAATATATTTGCATATAAAGCAAGCTTGAAATAAATACTTGCATAATTCTTTTTCAGTTTTTAAAATAGTAAACTTAACGTCAGTAAAGTATTCCAATTAATTTGAAAAGATAATAATAGTTATTAATTTAAAATTAGTTAAATTTATATTAGTTTAGTTTTTAATTTAGTTATTAAATTTTAATTTTATCTTAGTTATTATTTGTTTTTATTTTAATAGTTATTAATTTGAAAAATTAATAACTTAAATATTTATTTTGAATAAAAAAAGATTAAAGAAGCAAAATATTGTCATAGTGTATTAATAATAATAAAATATTATTTATAAATCTTAAGAATTATTTAGTATAAAAATAACTAACATGAATGTATTAAAAAATATTTATCAAGTAGACCTTATTATGATAAAATATCAAAGTAAGAAAGGTACTGAATATTTTTGCTAAATAATTGAAGAAAAGTTGAAAAGTTCAATTAAATTAGAACAACCCCACGTGAAAACGTGAATTTTGCTCATTATTGCGCCAATCTTTAACGTCTACATTTTTATTTCGTTTGCAGTTTCGTTTTATCATTTTAATTTGATAACACTTATGTATGATATTTATCTTTAATGTCGTTGATTTGTTTTTTACAATCAAATAATAAATATATTCAAAATTGTCATTTTTTAAATAAAATTATAAGAAAAAAAAATCAGTGCCATATCACTTATATTTATCAATTCACTTTTTGTATTTTAAAGTTTCCTATCGATATCCAAACTATTTTGTACAATGTAATAAATTCAATTTTGCTATTCAGGTCAATGATTAGCCTGAAATTAATAAATTCAAATCCATTGAATTGAGCAAGAAGACTATTTTTATAGTCATACGTACTTTTAAGATTAATAAAAGTTTTTTATTACTCACTTAATAAAATTGTCACTTTTTCTGCACAAAATCAAAGCAGAGTTCAAACAAAATATGCTTAAAGGAGTAAAAAGTTATTAAAGCATTTTCCATCATTATTTGACTCTAATTAGTTTGAAAGTAAATTTACAAGCATGACACGTCATAAAAATCAATTTAATTAAGTTTATACGCGTAAGTCTAGTCTAATCTTATTTATAATATAATACTACGAACAAGATTTTAGAATTTTTTTTTTCAATGCCTCAATTTGTGCTAAGAAAAGCAATAACAAGTATTCAACATAAGGATTTTCTAGCTAAACTTCTTCATAATTTGATTTTAGATTACACATGGGACTCGATAATAAACGATAAAAATAAAAAAACAAGTTTTTTTAAAAATAAAGTTTTTTTTTTTTCAAAAAGTTAAAACGTAAAAATGTTTGAAGTCAGATCACGTAAAATTAAAAACTTATCAATAAGCTTAAAGTTCAGAATATTCAAACTAGTGTTATGATAACGAAAGTAAGGAAGTAGTGAAAATTCTACACAACAGACTATTTCAGATTACTGATCTATTCTACTGTTCTTACTACTTTTTATAGTTAGATTTGTGTTAGTATTGGCGAGTTTACGTGGCGTTAGCAAATATTCGCAATATTTGTCTAATTTGTAGAGAAAAAAAATGGGTTGGAACTATTCCTCATGAGCAATTTAGGAAAGTCAAAAAAAAAGAATAACTTAGAAGTAGAGGCGAAATTTAAGATCTAGTAGTAAATTTCAATGATAAGCATAAGATTAAAGTTCGATGCAAGCAGATAAAACTTGAAATTCTAAATCTTTTGAAGGAAAACATCTGAGAAGTTAGTTATTCGAGACTTCATATCAATGCAATGAATTATCATACGTATTGATTTAAGAATATTTGAAAATAGAAAATATCTAAAATACACCAAAAAATTTGTCCTATAGATTATTTAATAAGACTTATTTACAATAAATCTCCTTTAAAATTTTCATACAACGCTTCATCTTTAATAATAATCAAGTAACAAACAAGTTTTTTAGGATAAATTTTGCTAGCAAAAAATTATACATATTGTTTGTTTTAAACAAAATTATACTTCTTACACATGATTTGCTGATATATTTTGTATTATAATAAAATAAAATAAAATAAAAATATATTTTATCCTAAAATCATTTTACGTAATCACTATCTAATATATCCGTTATAAATAACGATATAGTATAATTGCTCACTTGTTATTATCGCCAACACATAACATAATCAAAGCTAAAGTTGGAATAACAACGTGTCATTAAAGTTCAATATTTATTTAAACGTTGAAAAAAATGACTCACTCACAAGTTTGCAAATTTTTTTTTGCAAATTTTTTTAGGCAATATTTATCATATATTTAAAAGATTAATCTAAATTATGCATGCAAGAATTTCATTATTGCAAGCAATTCATTTACGTCATTTAAAAAAATATACTGCGTGAAAAAGTCTTTTTTTTTCATTATTAGTACTTTCGACTAATATTACTTTTATTATATTAATAATTGGATAAAA